ATATATATATATATATATATATGGCAACCACGCAGCTCCCAAAAAATATTTCTATAGTATATATATATGTATATATATATATATATATATATATATATATATATATATATATATATATATATATATATATATATATATATGAATGTGAATATAACGACACAAAGAAGTCCAAGTCTGCTATGTCTAAATTTGCAGTATGATTTGTAGTTGTATTCCAGAAAGAAAGAAAAAAGAAAAAAAGAAAAGGTCTTTTGAGTTTCATAAAGATTTGTGAAGATAATTTCTTGAATGTTGGCCACTTACATTACTTTGCTTTAGTTCCAACTTGGCAGACATAGCTTCCCTACAAATACACAATGTTTTTTTACTCAAGTTGTAAATACCATATTCCACAGTCGTACCCATAAAGCGAGTAATCAATTCCACAAAATCCTCCGTTGCCCGAAAAAACAAAACGGTAGTTTTTTAGCTTCTGAAATAGAATACAGAAGCAAAGCACTAAATAAATAACTCTCAGGTCATTGGTAACAAAAACCAAATTTTGACTTGATTCATGATATAAAACAATAGAAAATATGACTACGGAAGTAAATGAAATATTACGGTGTAGTTGCGGGATTTGAATAAAGACATGTAAAAGAGTTGGTTAATTAGGAATTGACCACTATTAACTTTGAGCTCGGACCTCACTTTACATCAGGTACAGTCTACATCCACTTCAAAACCAAAAGAATTCAGTTTGAAAATAGCAACAATAAACAAGAGCAGTTATGCATGTAAAGATACTGAATTATACCAATTGTTTCGAGTATCTGCACTTCCACACAATATGATACAATTCTGCCCAACTTGAACATCTAAGCTAAGATCAATTATTTAAAAAAACCCTTCAAATAAAAATCCTAAGATATCCCCAAATAAATAGCCCGGATACGGAAAAAAAAAAGGAGTAGAATTGAGAGAGTACCATTGAGGAGTAGTATCGTATTCATGACCATCGCATAAGGTGGGGGAAGGGGGATGCCTCCCTGGTAACGGTATTTGAAGTGTCTTCAGAGCAAACATTTGGATATCGCTAATTAACCCGTTTAACCTCTTTATGTCTGCCACCTACACCCATTCCATCCACCAATTACACTCAAATAATCACCATCATTCTTTTTTATTCTGCCTATTTTAATAAACCTTTTCATTATAAAGAATTCAATTGGAAAACCAAACTCTCTCACAAAATTACTTTATATTGCATAACAGAATAAGCTATTATACTCATTTTTACTTTCAAATTGGAAATTAAAATGAATCGACGAAAGGAATTAAAAGCTACTGACAGTGCGTGCAATACTTCCACGGACAGAAAAAAAAAAGAAAAAGACATGAATAATGCAATTCGATTGAGGAGGAAATACAAACAGCTGTTTGATTGGAGCAAAAATAATGAGTAATTAGATGGAGAAAAATATGAGATACCTCAACACCGTATTTGATGGCGACGCCGGCTAGGGTGTCGTATTTGGATACAGTGTGTAGTATGTAATTGACACCACCACCGCCTGAGGCGGCGGCGGAAGTCGGAGAAGAAATGAACAATGATCTCGACGGCGACGGCGACGGGGATCCCATCATTCATTCCCCTGGAACGAGAAAATGAGAGAAGTAAAACTTATTGGAACCCCATTTAACTTTTCATTCACTGCACAAAAATCCAGTCACAAATATATTAGTCGAAGAAATTTTGTTCCAAAGTTAATAAGTGGGGACAGATCTGGGAGGGTTCTCAACGTCTATGTACAAATATTTGCCCATTTTACGTTTCACTTTCTATACCCTTTTCACTTTTCACTTTTCACCTTTCTTCTCACCAGCTTCGTACATTGTGCAGTTGTGCTACTTAATAGTTGCTGAATTGCTAATTGTAACATGACTTTTACTCAAATTGGCTTATTTGCAGCGGTATTTTTTATTTCAACTTTTTCAATTTTCTAAAATACTCAAAACGCTCTCAATTAAAAAAAGTCGAGAATTAAAATTTTCGTGTTTGTTCGATAAATCGACTGCCCGACGACAACAAATAACATTATGGCCGATTCGGATGACTTGTACGAGGTAAAATCGAAGAAATTAGTGAAATTTCAAATTTTTCGCGTTATTATCGTGTTGTGTAGCACGAGAACCCCAATTTTTTGGGGTTCCCGTGCTACACAGCACGGGAAAATCAAAAAAAAAATAAAAAAAATAAAGATCGAGGGATCGTGCTGAAGAGCACGGGAACGCCATGTTCCCGTGCCTTGGAGGACGGAGACTTGTGGTTCCCGTGCTCTTCAGCACGGGAACCATGAACAATCGTCCCCTAGGGCACGGGAACCCTAAATTATTATTATTATTATTATTATTATTATTATTATTATTATTATTATTATTATTATTATTATTATTATTATTATTATTATTATTATTATTATTATTATTATTTTTTATAGTGTTATTTATATACTAATTATTATTTGTTATACCTTAATAGGCTAGTGAAGGTGATTTTGACGATGAGTTTGGAACTGAATATGACAACGAGTACGAGGATCCCAACATGTGTTTTGATGTTCCTCAAGACACACTAACAACTTCTAAGGATCACAGTCAATATTTGAATGTGGATGTTGAGTTTGAAACTGGGAAAGAATTAGTGGCATGGGCAAAAAAAATGGCTGCTACTTATGGTCATCGATTGATAGTAACTTCAAGCCAGAAAAACGTTTATGTAGTAATTAGATGTCATGTGTCTGGGAAGGGACGTGAAAAACGAACCGAAGGTGTGAAGCAACGAAATGTGGGAACAAATAAATGTGGATGTCCATTTCGTATATATTGTAGCAAAAATCGAAACGATGAACTATGGCGAATGAATTTAAAACATGGCATCCACACTCACCCGACGCTACCGTATCTTACCGGACAAGGACCGGATAGTTGTTTGACACCAGAAGAATACGAGGTAGTGAAGTTACTTAGAAGGAGCCATGTGAAGCCGACATTAATCATGGATCGATTGAAGAAGGATAATCCACAAACATCAACGAGTGTGAAACATGTCTACAACCAACTTGAGAAGATGAAAAAAGAGAATATGGCGGGGAAGACTGTGATACAACACGTGATGTCGAACCTTCAAGAATCTAGATATGAATATTGGTATCGAAGTAATGAAGCTGATGATACACTTATTGATTTGATGTTCGCTGCTCCTATTTCACTGAAACTTTTGTGGTTATTCTCTCACGTTATATTGATGGACTGCACTTACAAAATCAATAGGTATGTTGTTAATTAGTATTTAGTATTGGGTTATTGTACATTGATTGCATTTGATATTTATGTATTTACGTACGCATGAGATGCCACTTCTGGAATTAGTTGGAATCACCCCTGTTGGTTACAATTTTACAATTGTTGTTGCTTTCATGTCACATGAAGATGCAGACACATATGAATGGGCTTTGAGTTGTTTGAAATGTGCATTGGGGGGGGCTGGTACCTGATGTGATATTGACGGATCGTGAATTGGGACTCGTTAAAGCAATGCCCCAAATATTTCCAGATTCCGCACATTTTTTGTGTTTGTTTCACATCAATAGAAACGTGAAAAAAAATGCATCGAGATTTATTGGTAGTACTAAACACGGGGTGATATTCCGGCGCGGACATTGGGCAACATTAGTGGAATAAAAAACTGAAGAAGATTACTATGAAAATTACGAGGAAATGGTTAGACGCTATGGTTGCTACCCCAAATTGATATCATACCTTAACGATACTTGGCTAATATACAAACACAAATTCGTGAAAGCATGGACTAATAAGATTTTGCATTTTGGGAACACGTCGACTAATAGGTATTTTCGGTTTCATTATCGGCTTGTATTTTATATTATATTTTGGGCGTTTTTAATTATTAGTTGTTATTTTAATGGCTATTAACAGGGTGGAAAGTGCTCACAATTCGTCTAAGGGTTGGATTAGTGCTTCTAGCTGCGCTGTGAACACCATTCAATATCAGCTCGACTCCGGGGTCGAGTATCAACTTACCAAGATCAAGGGTGAGTTTTCAAAATGCAGCTTAATACAGTTGCATAAATCATCGTATCCGGTATTTCAGGGTTTGATATGCAAAATCACACATAAAGTATTAAATTTGCTTGATGATGAGCTCAATAAACCGGGGTTACAAGACCCATCTCTTTGTGATCACGTTCTGTGGGTTACTCGTGGACTTCCATGTGCATGCCAGGTTTTGTGGCAGGTTCTATTGTGTCGTATGTTAATGTTGTAGCAGATGGAAATTGTGGGTACAGATGTGTTGCAGAAGCAGTGTTCCGAGATCAGCACAGATGGAGTCGTGTGAGGAGAGATTTAATTGCTGATATGTACGAGCGATTTGGTACGTAAGCATCGCAAAATGGTCAAGATGAAGTCATCTGATGGATTACAAGATGCGATTGGCAAGAAGGACCGTGTAGTCGGGACAAATGGATGTCATTTCCGGATATGGGAATGTCGATAGCGACTAAATACAATGCAGCTTTGGTCTTATACGCCGTTGACGGAAGTACGACCTACTTACCTCTAGTTGGTCCGGATGAATTTTCTTATATGATCCATATGGTGTTGTTAGGAAACCATTTTGTCCTTATCCAGTTACCGGTTAATTGTCCTCTACCACCTATCACTCCACAGTGGCGACCTGTTAGAGCCGCAAATCTTGCCCACTTGTCGGAAATGTTCGAAGAACGCCTATATATGTGGCGTCGTTTATCTAGGTTGGGATAGGCATTTTATTTTATTTGGTATGTATTTGAACCTTGTATTATTTTATTTTAGTTGGCATGTATTTGAACCTTGTATTATTTTATTTTAGTTGATATGTATATGTGGCGTCGTTTATCTAGGTTGGGATAAGTATTTTATTTTATTTGGTATGTATTTGAACCTTGTATTATTTTATTTTAGTTGGTATATATTTGAACCTTATATTATTTTATTTTAGTTGGTATGTATTTGAACCTTGTATTATTTTATTTTAGTTGGTATGTATTTGAACCTTGTATTATTTTATTTCTGACAACTTAAAAATCAAACTAAAACATAAATAATAGTAAAAAAAATAACAGATTTAAAATCAAACTAAAACATAAATAATAATCAAACAAAAAATAACAGAAAACAGTAAAGCAAGTCCAAAACACAGATAAATGTCACAAAAAACAGATAAATGTCAAACAAATGGATCGATCGTCTACTGTCTACCCCTAGACCTCATCGAGGTGCCACTCTTCCCACCCGGTCGCCGACGCGGTGGTGGCATCTCCATTCGTCGTCGGAATCTCCAGTCGGGGGGGGGGGGGGGGGTAAACCGAGAAAACGTGCGTATGGCTCCACACGAGGCTGTAACTGCACACGTAGATGTAGATGCTCGGGTATCTCTTGCATGTGCGAGTGGATGATACGTACAATGTCATAGAAGTCCGGCTGAATAGAATGGGGACGTACGATGGGCGGTGGTCCCTGTGGCGTTGGATCCCGGTTGATGACGTACTGATGCGTACGAGGAACGTACCAGTCTATGTACCGAGAAGCAGTATCGGACGGCGGCCAGACTAATGTCCTACCCTCCAATGTAATCGAGCTGGCAGCCAAGTCCATCCACTCCTCGCCTGGAGGATCGTACCGTACCTGGTATGTCTGCCCTCCAAGCGGACCACGTAGGCACGACTCTCTAGACTGAATGTAACACTGCGTTATGGTCTGTCTAAAGCCGAACTACCATAAGACGCGACCCGGTAAATATGGCTCGATAATCTGCATAAACTGTATGCACCCATAATACAGTGTATGCGGAACGCGTCTATGTACGTGCGGACCGTAAGGCATCCAGTCAATATGGTAAATTAGATTAACGTAATAAAAATTAGATTTACGTAATAATTAATAATAAATAAATTCAACAATTAAAATACGTACCTGATCGGCCTGCATATCATCAAGCATCCTTCGGACCGAGAACAAGTTCGAAATACCCTTGCGTGGTTTCCATTTCAGGAAATGAGGCTGCATCTCCCTATAATCCGGATTAATAGGTGCTCGCAAAGGGCGAAAGTACTCATAAATCCAACACTACAAGTAAACGAGACTATATTAGATTAATATTATATTAAATTACAATATATTATATTAAATTAATGTAGTATTAGACTAGATTATATTATATAAGTACCTAAGTTATACTAATTAATACTACATTATTAACATAATACATTGAGTATAATATATTATATTAAATTACAATTAAATTAAACTTGAATATCTGGAGCAGTAACGTGCAACCCTGTAATCCCTTCACGTGGGTCCTACTAGCCAAGCCCAACTGCCGGTATAAATGAGCCAAGACAGCTGCACCCCAAGCATACTCGCCGACGTGCTCGAGATCAGAAGAATATCTCATCCACGTTGGCTTGAACCTGTCTATACTCCAGTCGGGGAACAAAGCCATACCGATAAAAAAAACGTCAAATATCCTACCACCTTCTGTCGACAAGATCGGGACCGACTGCGCACACGCTGAACAAACTCCGACCATTTTATCCCACTATTGCCGAGATTGGCATGCGCCTCGACCAGGTCCAAATCAAGAACCTCAGCTAGCAATAACTCACACATAGGCCTCTCCTCAACAGAATCACCGTACACGGCTAGACCGTCGACACGCAACCCCAAAATAAATGCGACATCATGTAGGGTGATCGTCATCTCACCCCAAGGCATGTGGAAACTGTTCGTTTCCGGCTGCCACCTCTCTATAAATGCCCCCATGAGTCCCTTGTCTACATTTTTCATGTAGAAGTGCTCGAGTGAGTCTAGGCCAGATGCCTCCAGTATCTCTAACTCATCCTGCCCGTAAGGATCCATGAGTTGCTTCAGCTCATCTTTCTTAAAATCATTAAGCGCGGTAATTCTGGACTCACATCGCCCGACGCTGCGCTCCTGTAGAATTTCTAATTTAATTAGAAAAAGTATATTAAAATAAATATATTTAAAATATATAAAAATAAATATATTTAAACTTACATGTCCTGCCCAAATGTAGTAGGCAATATGACTCTTGAAACTAGGAATCATCCTCCAATCAGCCGGTCCTCCTGGAGCCGAACCATGTAACACAAGTGGGCCACTAAAAGTATCGAACTCGTACCGAAAATTGCGTGCGCGCGCAGCCGGGACGGGAGCATCATCAAAATCGCTCCCCACATGGTCCTGCTCCTCCTGGTGTTCCTCGTAAGGGATACGGGAATCTTCCCCTAAAGAACGAATGCTACCCGCCATAGATCTGGAACTACGGTCTACGTGGTGAATCTCGTCCACGATGGGTAAATCAGTGCCGCGCTCAATAACTCTCCTACGACGGTGAGATGCAGTCATACGAATGCGCTCGTCTTCCGCCGCGGCTTCCCCGCCATACAGAAATTTAATCTTCGGGACTTTATCCGAACTCGAAGAAGCACCCATAATCCCTTTCCCCTTATCCTGACGTGCCATCTGTAAAATATAAACAAACTAATTAAATAAAATAATATAAATAAATAAATTAAAAAAAATTAATTAATTTTTGATGTTCCCGTTCGGCAGAACACGGGAAAATCAAAAATTTTGAATGCTCCGTCCTGCAGAACTCCCGTGTTCTGCAGGACGGGAGATTCATAAATTTTTTTTTTAATTCGGAAAATTAAAATTTAAAAATCAGTTTGAAGATCACGTTTTGTGGAGCACGAAAAATTAAAGCTCCCGTTTTCTGGAGTACGGAAACTCGAAGAACATTCAACTTTCCGTGCTCTGCAGAACGAAGGATTCAAAATGCTTGAATCCTCCGTTTTGCAGAGCACGAAAACTTGAATGTTCTTCGAGTTTCCGTGCTCCAGAAAACGGGAGCTTTAATTTATTTATTTTTTTCGAAATTTTGCTAGATCTAATCCTAAACACGTGTTTTTACCTAAATTGGAAATAAAACTAATTAAAAGTAGTAGGATATTGAAAATTTACCGGAATCGAGCCTCGTTTGCTAAGGTTTGAATGTCGAAAATATTTACGAAATTCGAATTTCTAGAGAGAGATTGGGAATAGGAGAGAGAAATTGAAAAAAAAAATTAAATGAAAAAGGTACCGCTGCAAATAAGCCAATTTCAGTAAAAGTCCCACTGCAAATAACAACACCCTAATAGTTAATACTTAGGGTTAATTGCATTTCGCCATATAGACTTTGTCCGTTTTTGCACTTTACCACCTTAACCAAAAAATGTTGAACAAGCGCACCCAAATATTCATTTTTTACGCACATAACCACCTGGATGGAACATTTTGGCGAATCTTTTCACTTTCCGGCGCACGCACGCTGTACATGCTAAAGTACATGGGCTTTTTTGTCTTTTCCTTTACATATCCTTCTAAATACTCTAATTTCGCCCAAATTTTCCCTACATCTCATTTCTCTAAGTCTGATTTCCCCCTTCTTTACTTCCCCTCCTCTCATTTCCTCTCTTCTTTTGTCTGCATTTTTTTTTCTCTTCGTTCTTTCGTTCTTTTGTTTCAGTTTTGGACATGTAACAAAGTAGTGGAGTCCAGGGCAATAATACATGGTACTGTGAAGAATGGCAATAATGAAAACATCTTGGACCGATTTGAATCCATGGAGGAGATTTGCTATATGTCCAAAATATAAGTTATGAAATTATGAATTTCTTGTAAATTTCATCAATCTTATTTTGAATCCAGGGAGGAGATTTGCTGAATTTAAATTCTTATAACGTGTTCTGTTTTTTTCCAGCAAATTGGGGGTTGCAAATACTATGTGTGGATTGACTCTCCAATGTGTGACTAATCTCGTAACATAATTCCTGGTTTACTTAGGAAGATAACAAGTATGAAGATGAGTTGAAGAAGTACGAAGACGAGTTGAAGAAGTGTGAAGATGAGTTGAAGAAGTGTGGAGAACAACTCATTAAGAAGGGGTCAAGGGAAAAATGGTTGCCTTCACAGTTGCAATGTTTCTAGTGTATGTGTTTGTTTAGATGTTTAGAACGAGTATTGATCTTTCTATGTTATGTACTTGCCTTCAATTAAGTAGTTGTAATAACTTTTTAACTTTTATGTTATTGTGTAATGTCAATATGGATTTGTAATGAATGTTGTTGTATATCTACTGAGTTTTGCACAAGAAAAAACATAAATATTAAAAAAGCAACTAAGTGCACAAGAAACAAACTACATAGTCTTATCAAAATCCAAAATACTAGAAAATAGTGCAAAGTCTTACCAAAATCCAAAATACAAATTACGTAGTCTTACCAAAATGCAAAATAGTTCACAAGACTAATTACTAAGTCATTCTCAAAAGAGCATTCCCAAAAGATCATTCCCAAAATGCAAAAAATATTGATCTAAAATGTTCAAAATGTACTTAAATCACAACAAAAACATCCGAACAAATTAAATGGCCATTATTTCTTCTTTGGTGTGGCTTTTCTTGACCTCAGATTATGTGATGGGATGAAGGCTAAAGCACAACTTGCTTCTTCCATTTGCTTGTTTTGGCAGTCATTGTTGTTTTCTTTTCCTTTTCCTTCTCCTTTCTTGTATCTGAAGAAACCATTGTTTTATTCTCCTTGCCTGTCTTACCAATAACCTGATTTTTCTCACATGTTATAATAAATTATCAAAGAAATTGTGGATTTCAAACATATCCTAAATACATTACCTTCTTAGAAACCATAGATTTCTTCCCCTTTCTTGACACTGGTAATTTTTTCATTGTTTAAGGTTCAGATACACTTTCTTGAGTCTGGTTAATATAAAAAACAAGCTTCCTCTACAGGAATGTAACAAATAAAAAAAATTACAAAATCATAAATTAACATAGAAACGGTAGTTTGTCTACAAATCACAAAAGCTAAGTACATTTATGTTGATAGCATTACTTGTTTGAACTTTTAAATGAGGTTCAAATGTAGTTTGGCTTTGTTGTTCTGTCACAATTTGCTTTGTGGTTGAGTAACAGTAGCTTGTGTGTTTGATTTCTTTCTCTAGCATTGGAAACAAAATCAACTCCATTAGTTAACAATTAACTTACTGAATAATTGAAAAACTATGCACATACTGGGCCTTTATCATTAACTGCACCACTTGCCTTCTTCAAGGGGCAACTTCTTGCATTATTGTTTTTCTTTTGCCATGAACTGCATGTCATTATGACACCTTGTCTACCCAAACTCCCAATTCTTGTTACTGTTTTGACAACTGGTGGTGGGATGTCCTTTGGACCATTGATCTCCCCTGGTTGCCTTCTTCTTTTGTGCAGTTTAGTCCTGCCTGGCATCTTCACAATGTCTGCAGGAAGCAAGGGTGGCTTTCTAGATTCAGGCCAAGATTCAATTCCTTCAAGTGAGTCAAGTAAGTGGATGTACACTCTCATGTAGGTGTTCTTCTTGTACAATTCTTCAACATAATCTTCAGGTATTCTCCCCAGATAGTACATGCCTGAAATGGAATGTGCACAAGGAATTCCAGAGATTTGCCACTTCTACAACTGCAAGTTTTATTTCCCAAATGCACCTTGAATCTATCACCATAGCAATTCTCAACTTCAAACTGATCCTTACCATTCCAATTAGCTATGAACTCCATTGATTTTTTTCTTCAAATCCTCTATATGTCTCTGAATGAAGGATAAACGACTCCACAACGGAACATGGGAGACAAAATCAGTTTTCGTTGGAAAAAGATCAACACAGGTGGGAAGGGATTCCATGCATAGTCTCCAAACGAAGTTACGAATCTTAGGCGGTACCGGGAGATGCCAAATATGATGTTGATTACCGTTGCTTCCGTTATAGAAGTCGTTCGTCACGTGGTAACATGACTGAACTGAGAATTTTCCATTTTTGTAGAGGTGCCATACCCATCGATTTGTCGAGTTAACGCTACCAACAAGAATGCTCAGAATGCGCTTCCAATCAATTGGCCAAAAATGTGGTTTCCACCAGCGGGAGGTTCCATGAGCGAGAGTTCAGAGTCAATCAAATCCACCACCTTGTCCAAGAACGCCATGTCAATAGGCCGGGTAGTCAGGATCCTGGAGTTTGAAATGTCGAGGATCCAGGAGTCGTCCCAAATTTTCGTAGATTCATCATTCCCAATTCTTTTTCGAATGCCCTTCGAAATAAAGTGCGCAGCTTTGAGGAGACTACGCCACATCGCCGAAGGCCGATTACCAAGCTCTGCAATCAAGGAATTCCGTGTAGGATAGTACCATGATTTCGTAATGCAAACCAAATTAGACTGAGGTTGCGTAAGGAGATTCCAAACTTGTATAGCGAGAAGCGCTAAATTAAAAAGTTTTAAAGTTTATTTTTGTGAAATGACTCTTTTACCCTGTTTTATGTATGATATAATCACTAATTTTTTAAAGTTTATTTTTGTGGATTGTTGAAGATTTTTAGTGTTCATTTTAATTAGGATTTTTTGTCGATTTTAGTGTTTATTTTAGGGGTTTTCAAATTTTTTTTGGGGCGATTTGCCATTATAATCGGAAAGCTTTATTTTTCATTTACAATTCTTTCATAAGGTTTTATTTTAATTTTAGGATTTCTGTTTAATTTCTAATAAGCATTCATGATTGTATTCTTATTGATTCGACTTTTCAATTTTTATGCATAAAAAAAAAGAAAAAAGCTGAAAAGAGTAAAAAAAAAAATTGAATAAAGTGAAAAAAAGAGTTGATAAGAGCGAAAAATATGGTGAAAATAGCCAAAACTAAGCAACATAATTATAGAGTTTTTTCTTTTTTTTTTTTTTGGTATTTTCATTAAAAAAAGCCAACAACTCTTAGCAACGGCCTATCAAAAGGTTTGACTAACGGAATTAGGAAAAAAAAACTATCGGCGTGGGGGTGCTTGATGTTTTCTATACTTCATGGGGGTAAATGATACCTTTCGCCATAGTACATGGGTGCAAAATGAATTTTACCCTCATAAAAAGCCAAAATAATTAATATTGATGTGGTTGACAGTAATACTACTGTCATCCACAGTAATATTATTGTAATGACAGTAATATTACTGTCAACCGCAGTAATATTATTGTATTTACAGTAATATTACAATAATAGACAGTAATATTATTGCGTTAATCAGTCAACAAAACAAACAAAATAAAAAGGCAAAGAAAAAATATATATTGATGTGGTTGACAGTAATATTATTGCGTTTACAGTAATTTTACTGTCAACGACAGTAATATAATTACGTTGACTTGTCAACAAATCAAACAAAATAAAAAAAAGTCAAAAAAATAATAATATTGATGTGGTTGACAGTATAATTATTTTTAATGACAGTACAATTACGGTCAACGATCAGCGGCGGGCGTATAAAAAACGGATAAAAAATGTAGGGAAAAAAATTAAATTAAAAAAAATCAATGTCGGAGAGCGTCGGCGGAAAAAATAGACCGAAAGAAAAAGGATTGCCGGTCAACGCAAAAAAAAAAAGAATCAGAAAAAAAGGTTTAAAAAACGAAAAAAATCAAAATTGGATTTTGTGGTCAAAATTGATTAAATTAAAGTTAAACATGAGTTACAATTAAGAATTGAGTTTAAAGAATTGGAGGTAATTTTGTGATATACATAATTTTGCCTTTATATATAATACATATTAAATGGATGGACTTATTGGCAAAAGATATATAATATCAGGGACTTAAACATAAAAATCGCTTTTTAAATTGAAGAAAATTAAAAGGAGTAATTTGAATCGGGATGAAAATGATTTCCACAAATGTCATAACTTCGAGCTATGGGTAGTTTTTGCAAAAAAAATCATCATAAACACATTTAACCTTGAAAGCCCTAATTAGACCCCTGCAAAGGAAAACCAGAGTGAAATATGAAATCTATCATATTCATATAGAAGATACATTCATTCATATGAGTAATCCTAATCTTGATCGTTGCGGTAAAGCGTTGTTGCTTCTTCTGGCAGCGGCCGTTCTTTTCTCCACTCACACCGTATATTGTGATGCCGGCGGCGGTGAAGAAGGAACGACGGAGGTGCAATGGCAGATCCTCACGAAATTAAACTACTCCTCTCAGATCCTCCTCCATCCTCGCCTCCTTCTCTTCGTCACTCAACCATGTAATTCATAATAATAATAATCACCCTTCTTCTCTTACATTTCTGGTGTTTTTGTAAATTTTAAATAGTTACTCTTCTTTTTGAGTATATCTTCCATTGATATCAATAATTCTATGCGTCTTCATGTGGTTTAGAACGCTTTTATTGTTAGTCATTCAACTGATTCTCCAAAAAGAGGCACTTCAATATTTCGATTTTTTTAATAGTTGTATGGTTTCATGTTATTTACACTACCCAACATGCTGGATAATTGAAACGTGATACTTTGAATAGCCTCAGCTGAAGAAGATTTTCATAAGGGCGACTAGGAAATATTTAGCTCTAAAATCGTTTTATTTCCTCCTAGTATTCAAACCAATTTTCCCCCAAAATCATTGTTTTTACTAACTAAGATTGTGCCTTTTATCTTCTATGCTGATTTTGTTGCATTTTATGTTTTGGCATTTTTCATGACTTTATCCATTGCCTAGGGTCTGGTGAGTCGAGGTCCATTATGAAGGAATTAGGTCATGTCGTTGGAAATGATGAAGCGAGATTTGGCACCTTGAAGCTTATGGTGTTATACAGAAATGCAGAGAGGATGTTGGCAGATGCACTTGGTGCTAATGATGGAATAACCATTTTTTATTACCATAATTCCCTATCTTATAAATATCGAGGACGACTTCGAGTGCAAAACATATTATCCTCCGTGGACTATGTTTCGTCTCTTTCATCTGATGAACTACCTCTTAAATCTTTAAATACCCAAGAAGAATTGAGAGATTTCGTTTATTCAACTGACAAGGCCGTACTTCTCATGGAATTTTGTGGATGGATTCCAAGGTTGATGGCAATGGACAATTCTACAACTCAAAGTATTTTGGGTATTTTATTTCTCTATCCTCTTACTCTCTTATTTTTCTTTTTTTTTTTTTCCCTTGATGTACTTCATTTGTTATCATGAATGCTGTTAAACGAATTTTCACTTTCTTCTATATAATGCACTGAGCCTTTTCATCCTTTATTGCGTCACTTATTTTGATGAATTTGTAAAAAAATCCTTGTCGAAAGAGTTTTGTGCCTTTCTCATTGTAATACTTAATGTGGAATGAAAAGAAATTCGATCTACTACACGCACGCCTACTGTTGAAATGAGGAAAAAACTTCTTATGAAAAGAAATCAATCTATCAACATAAGAACAAACGTATGTTGTCAGTTCTTTCCTTCTTCCGTGATGCTGACTAATGATTGAACAAAATAATTATCCAGGACAAGGTTATCTTGGAGCAGACATCAACAGAGAGAGCAATGGAACTGTTGCAGCAAACGATAAGGAGAATAAGAAGGTGGATGGTATTTCTTAATTGTCAACTTTATGAAACTCATTAGATTAGCATTGCAAATTGTATGGTTGGTAAAAGTCTATTCTTTGTTTTTATATGAATAGGGTGTGGAAGATGACAAGTTCAGCTGTGGTAGTGACAATGGATTTAGTGGAATACCTTGGTCGTCTCAGTTTACTCATGTAAATAATAGTCTTGTGAAGGATACAGAAAATCTGACATTTAGTGCTGGAGAATCCTGTACTTTGTACGAGTTTCAACAATTTGAAGCATTCTTACCGAAGTTAATTAGAGTTGCTAGAGAGTTCTTCTTACCTCCTGAAGGGCGTAGATTTGCTGTGGTTCGTGACAGATCACTTCTTCCATTGCTAAATATTGAAGAGGCAGGTTCATGGTTTATGACTGTTCATTTTGCCGGATGTCCAAGTTGTTCTCAGATTCTTAAAGAAGTTGATGATCTCAAAACTGTCCTGCAAGCCCAGGCCTCACCCGTTTTAGAGGCAAGTCACCTATCACATGTTATTCAGTACTCTACCTTCTTAAATCTCTTAAAAATTAATATATTCTTGATGTCTTTTAAATCTTAAACCGTGCATTTAGTAGCTTGTCATTTGGAACTAAAGAAATCACAATTTTAATTGTTTTCATCCAAGTACCTTCCCTTCTCGCCAGACCAATCAAAAAAAGAAAATAAAAGAAAAAGCTCCACCAAATGCCCCACACACGTGACTCCATGCACCACATAAGTGAAATCCAGCTAATATTGACGTCATTCCTCTTTGAAAAGTTAATGCGCTGTTTTAGGTGGACGGCTCCATATTTTTAGTGGAATGGAAGGAGGGGGAATAAAAGTGAAATCATATGCATATTGTCTTTATGTAATGCAGTTATTACCCTTTCATTGCACTCATTTTTTCATAATGATTTTCTATCTAATAATGTCTTCTTTTTTGATGCGTGTTCACTATATGCTTATAGATGCTCTTTCTGCATTATGCAGCTGGAAAATCATTCACAGGGATTTGAGGCTGCTTTACCTGCAAAAAAATCTACAATGCTTCTTTTTGTTGATAGGTCATCTAACTCAAAGCAAATAAGAAAAGAGAGTCAGGAAGCTCTCAGAACATTTAGAGAGTTTGCAAAACAGACTGAGATGTCAAATCAGATGCATGGGCAAGCCATGATCAGGCCTGACAACTCAATTGAATCCAACCAAGCATCATTGGAACGTCCTAAAATCCAGCCTTTTCCAGCATCACAGAAATTTATTCTCAAGGATAAGATGTCTATAATGATAGTGAAAGATGGCCAACAAGTTACTGTAGAAAATATGGTCTCAGATTTGCAAGGTAAGTCTGTGCATGAGATCTTAACTTATGCAATGGAGGGGAAAAAGGAGCTGAAATTAAGTTCATTGGCTAAGGATGCAGGATTTCAACTTATATCAAAAGATTTCGACATCGACGTTGAATCGTTGACATTAAATAGTGTGGATCGATCTAATCAAGTTTTAGGAGAAACACATGTGGAAGACAGTCATGCAACTGCTCCAACAGATAAGAAGCAAACGCCAGCTGTTATTTCCAATAGATTGCATGAGGAGTTACCCGATCCTTCTGATGATGAATTTATGCTTGGACACAGAGAAGATTCTTCAGATATAAGTGGCCTGTCATATGTAGAATCTGAGAGTGTTCATCATAGTACACATATAGCAACTGATAGTGGTCAAGGTTGGAACATTGGGGAGACAAGACACCTAGAAATAGAGGAAAACGACCAACATAAACATTTTACAGGCTCTTTTTTCTTTTTAGATGGTCAGTACAGATTACTTGAAACTCTAACTGGAGGATCGAAGATTCCAGCAGTTGTCATAATTGACCCAATTGCTCAGAAGCACTATGTCCTAGCTGAGCGGTCAGTTTTAAACTATTCTTCGCTATCTGTTTTTGTTAAAGAATTCCTTGCTGGCAAGCTTCTTCCATATATACAATCAGCTGCTGCAGTTCCTAGCTCGAGAAACGCTCAAAGACCACCATTTGTTAATCTGGATTTTCATGAGACTGATTCTATTCCTCTTGTTACATCCCTTACTTTTGCGGAGCTGGTTCTCGGAAATAATTCTGATCCCAGGAATTCAGGCCATTCTTGGGATAGAAATGTATTGGTTCTTTTCAGCAATAATTGGTGTGGATTTTGCCAGAGGATGGAACTTGTTGTCCGCGAAGTGTACCGAGCAGTTAAGGCCTATGCCAATATGAAGATAAATAGTTCAAGGAAGGAGATATTGACTCCGGCGGATGGTAAGAAGTTCATTTTTACTGCATGATATCATTTTGGCAGATTAGCACTACAAAATATGTTTAGTAGTTTTTATTATTATTTATTAATTTTTTTTTTATTTCTATTATTCTTACTACATTTCTTGTTGTGTTAAGGTATTTTTTTTCTTCAAAAAAAGTGATAATCTTTGTAGCTAACTGTTGATAATTTTAAAATGGGATTTTAGGCAAAAACTATGAATTTTTTTATGATGGTATTTGCTGCTGTATTATCACTCACAGCTAGTCAACTGAGGTACCCTGAGAAATAGTGATCAATGCCTTTCTTTTTTAGTTTTTGGATAGCATGGCAGTATTGTGATTATCTTAGATTAAAATATCTAGATTAAAGTAGGCAAAACTGTGAATGTTGCAAAGTTCCCATTGAAGTGATGCGGTATAGCCTTGGCCAATAGCCGAGAACTCTGGTTAAATGATGGAACTTCATAAAAGGTTGGTCTAAATAAGTGTTTAAAATAATATTTTATGGTGAACATTTTTGGATCTGATTGAGATTCCCTGGCTATAATCAGAGTTCATAAGAGTAAAATATAGTTTTCATAGGATATTCTGAAGCTAGTGTTGGAAGTTGCACTTGGGATTAACCTTGATATGTAGAAGGTATTTTCATCTCTATATATGGGGAAGCTGATCTGTCTTTTAGCTGTAGCAAATCCAGTATGGAGATTATAGAGAGGGGAACTGGAGATTGACAAATAATAAGTTCTGTCAGATAAAATAATTCACATAGCTCCAACTAATTGTCATTGGCATATTTCAATACCAGTAAACATTTATGAAACATATTTATTGAACTAAAGAATTTACAGGAAAATGTTGCACTTATATTAACCAGTCAACATAATAACCAATTTAAACATTTATGTAGGTGATAAAAACTTAAAAATTGAAACATAGGATCCTTGCCAAGGACTCAAAAACCTGTATCTACCGCACCTGTCAATTGAAAATAGAGCTAGATCCTAATAACGAGTAGATACTTCCACAGAATCTTTTACTTAAAGCCTATAAAATTACCAAAAGCATAGAAAGTACATACAACAACTATAATTAGTGGAAATCAACAAAGTGTAAATGAAAGATGGATCGATTGGATTGCTTTCAACAGTAAATGCTCATTTTGATCTGTGTTCATGAATGACTCACGATGAGGATTCAGGGGAGGCAATACGATGCACCTCAAAATAGTTACTCTGTCAATATGTTAGTTATAGGCCATAAGTCTACCGCTTTACGTAAATGGGTGAATATTTGTGTGCATATATGCGCATATAGTCTTTTACGTGTATGTACTTGCATGATCTACAATATAATCTTGCAGTTGGTAACTTAAATCTATTTTGGACGAACTTCTGTAATTAATTGAAGCTTTTGTGATTTCTTGGGCATTTTACAGCGAATATTGAAATGTAATTGCAATCCTCACAAAAATGACTGGGTTAGGCGATGGAAATATCCTATCTTTATAATGAACAGTAAACTAAAATTTGATCAGCTTTAGCTTCTCAAATGTAAAAATCTCATAAGAAATTGGCCTGAGCTAATCAAGGGAGTTATTGATGGTAATGATAATTGTATGAGATAAGGTTGCAGTTGCATGCACATAGTCACATTTCTTTTTTCCTCGTTGATTCTTGTATTAGTAGTATCAATATTCATAGTGATGAAATGTTACTATGCACTGATTCTGATCGTTGGCTTAGATATGTGGCAGAGCATGTTGCAGATGTTGTATTGAAGCTCCCCCTTATTTATATGATGGATTGCACACAAAATGACTGCAGCTCGATCATAAAACCAATACTGCAGGTACGAGACATAGGTTTACATATTTAATCTTGTTATGTAAATACCACGTTTCACTGACCTTTTAATGGCAAATGACCAATATGACTCCCCGAATTGCATATACTTCATCGTATGTTTATTTGGTATTTATTTTGTCCTTATTTCCATCGACCGTATGGTAGAAAGATTTTGCTTGGTCAGAAAGACGTTATATAGTTGAAAAAATAATGCTGCAGCCTGCAGATTACAATGTCAGCATTCAATAAAATTGTCAGGCTGATGAGGTAAACCTGTCGAAGAATTACGGAAAGGCTAATATGGTTTTAGTTTGGGTGATGATGGTAGCTATCTCTATGGTAGAAATCATAGAGATTCAAGATCTGCATTCTTATGGATAGAATCGTTGACTGTTAATCAAACCAGCAACCTTAACCCATAGGAAAACCACCCAATCACAGAAAGGAAGAAGGACATTGATCCAGAAAGAGCTAGTTACGTGCACAAGAAAGGCATAGATGGAATGAGAATGAAGTTGGGAAGGATTTAAACAATGTTGCTGACTATTATCAGGACTATGTTTTGTGTGCGAGTGTGTGTCGTGTATGGTCAAGTCTTAAGTTTGTATTGGAATCCCTAATAATAGGTATAGATTTTTCTGAGCGTATAGAAAACTTATATCAGAAGCCTAATATCTCCATTTAATAATTTCAATTCGAGCTAACTAGATCTATGCAAACTGATAACACTTTAGTTGAATTTATATTTCCAATGCGCTCCTCATTCAGCTTGTTATTGTGATGTGCTTTGAATTTGCAGAGGGAAGTTTATCCACTTCTGCTGCTATTCCCAGCAGAAAGGAAGAACAACACTGTTCCTTATGAAGGAGATGTTGCAGTATCTGATATCATCAAATTCCTGGCTGCTCACGGGAGCCATATTCTACAACATATCATGTATAAAAGTAAGTTTTGTATATTAAAAGTTGCTTTGTCCTTTCCTTTTTTCTTGCAATATCTGCTTATTCTGTGTAGAAGATGGCATAGGGAGTATAGTTTTTCATTTAACGTATCTGGTATCAATTTCAGTTTAATGTTCTGGTCTCATACTCAGGCCTTCTGTCTACCCACCTTTCACTTTTCAGTTTTGTGTTTTTCACTTTCCTGCATCGCTACCGGAATAATGTTTGAGTGCGTTAATCTTTGGATAATCTGGATTTGTTTTAGCAACTTAGCTGTAATGTGGTGGAGTGACTCATCTAGTCGATTTTTACCTTGGCATCTTAGCTTAGCTATAAATTAAGCTGAGTGAGGAGGATAATTCAGTTACTTTTGTGGGTCTAGAGGCTCTACCTTACTTTATTTCCTAGTTATACTTCAAATTGAGTAGTCTGATACGATGTGTGTGAAAATATATATGTTTTTCACCAGTAGTCCTAAATACTGTGTTGAAACTCACACACAATTTAGCTGTGTATATATTAGCTGACTTTATTGGAATCTATTGTCCTTTTTTTCTGCATTAGATTTTGTACGGGACGAAAATTCAGTCTCCGAGAGTAAGAGCTTTCACCATGACGTTGTATTCCAAGACAGTCTGCAAAACGTGGCAGTTAAATACCCGATGAACAATGCTCAGCTCTCTGTCGGTTCAGAAGAAAGGCCTCAATTGTCTGTTGGTTGTGTTCTAAGTGCAACAGAACAGCTTATAGATGTTCACCCGTTTGATGAATCCAAAATTGTAATAGTGAAAGTGGATCAAAGCACTGGATTTCAAGGTCTCATATTTAATAAACACATCAGTTGGGATTCTGTTGAAGAAGGATTTGAGTTATTAAAGGAAGCACCTCTCTCTTTTGGTGGTCCAGTCATGATGCGAGGAATGCCGCTCGTTGCTTTAACACACAAATCTATGGAAGGGGGGCAATACATGAAAGAAATCCTACCAAACATTTACTTTATCGATCAAGTTGCCGCACAGAGACTAATCGAAGAAATTAGAGTCGGAAATGAGTCAGCTAATGATTACTGGTTCTTTTTTGGATATTCGAGCTGGGGTTGGGAGCAACTGCTTCATGAGATTGCTCAAGGAGCTTGGAGTGTAAGCAAAGGCGATGCGGGACAACTAGACTGGCCATTGAGCTGATTTTTCTACACACAAGAGTTTCTTAGACTATGCCAAAAAAGGACGGCATCAACAAAGAATAGCTGCTTTTTGTTTATCAACTATTTGGCTGTGTATTTTAAATTTGTGCACTGTCAAACTTTTCTTTTACCCAACGCTAGTACTTTTACATGTGCGCTGCACGGTGGAATTTTTCAAACGTAAATGAAAAAATTAGTTCAAAAATATGATTGAGAATGGGTATATTGAAGAGAATGTTAAGAGTAAATGTCGTAGTATCTATTGAAAAATAGCACCCGTCACATATCTATATTGCAAGATAATGTTTTATATAAAAACGGATCAAACTTGTACATGTTTGAAAATAATTTGTGTGGCGGACTCTAGTGGAAAAATAAAATATTCCTCTCCAAAATGTGTGCAAAATAGGTTTGCCTTAGAAACGGTCAAATGATGAGGGGATAAACTGAAACCATTGATTTTACAAAGAAATAACCATTAAATACAGCATATCGAAACAAAAACCCGAAAATCAAAAAAAATAATTTAACAACGACAGCACAAACAAACACAAATTATTGAACATACATATATCTATACTACTTATAAAAGGAGGAATCACATGGTGGTTTCTTCCATTTTTTGATGAGACAAAAATAACCATAGATCCATCAAATAAATAAGGACATTTGAGTAATTTTAATTTGAAGTAATTAATGAATTATAGCTTACACAAATCAAAAAAGAGATTGTTCCATGTAAATCGGACACTAACAGATTTTGACTTTACATATAACCAGGAAATAGAAAAAAGAAAAAGAATAAAAAAGAAATTCAAAGGTCTTAATTGTCCACATTAAAGAAAAATACAAAAGGCCAAGGTTTCAGTTTCGTATTTGATTTTTTAGGGCATTGAGACGGTGTATTTCATGTTTCCATAGTGTGTTTCTCTCTCTTGCTACGTTTGCTAACAATCTACATGAATCCTGGTATAATTTTAATTGATATTGTCAAAATCGATTATTTGGTAATACAGTCAATTACTGATTTGTGTGTGTGTTTTTTTTTTCAGAATTGCTGTCAGTGATGCGATTCAGGTTATTCATTGCCAAGGTGTTAAGTCGAGTTCAATTTCTTGTTCTGGTTCGAACGTAAGGTAAATTGATTACGGTACTCATTTCTTAACTTCTTCATGGTTACTTATGTGTTTCTCACAAAACAATTGTTGCCCATTCACTAAAATTGATAGTTCGGTACAAGTCTATTTTGTAATTGATAATTCTGCAAATGTTTTTCTTTTGAGGGTAAATGGCAAAAAGGTCCATCACATGAGACTTAAATGCATTTTAGTCCAAAAAAAAACAGTCTCTCAATTAAGCCCATCCCTATGTCTTTAGTCTAAAATACCCTCAATAATATAATTCTTAACAATTCAACCCATTATGCTCTAACTTCCTTAATATTACACATTGACACCGGATTTAAACAAATATATCACATTAACCCCCAAAACTTTTTTTTTTTTCAGAAAATAATTTTTTTTCTGAAATGTTTTTTTTCCGGCCAGATTCCGGCGTTGACTTTTTTTTTTTTTTTTTTTTTTTTTTGAAATTTTTTTTCCCTGAATTTTTTTTTCCGTCCGGTCAACCACCGTTGACCGCCGGTTTCCGGCGTTGACTTTCTTTTTTTCTTTTTTTTTTTTTGGAATTGTTTTTTCTTAGAAAAAAAATATTTTAATTAATATTACTGTCTTGACTACTAAATTACTGTATTCGTTGCTAAATTACTGTCTCCAGCAGTTATTTAACTGTCGGAGACAGTAATTTAACTGTTAATTGACTTTTTTATTCTTAAAAAAAATATTTTTAATTAATATTACTGTATTCGTTGCTAAATTACTGTCTCCAGCAGTTATTTAACTGTCGGAGACAGTAATTTAACTGTTAATTGACTTTTTTATTCTTAAAAAAAATATTTTTAATTAATATTACTGTATTCGTTGCTAAATTACTGTCTCCAGCAGTTATTTAACTGTCGGAGACAGTAATTTAACTGTTAATTGACTTTTTTATTCTGAAAAAAAATATTTTTAATTAATATTACTGTATTCGTTGCTAAATTACTGTCTCCAGCAGTTATTTAACTGTCGGAGACAGTAATTTAACTGTTAATTGACTTTTTTATTCTGAAAAAAAATATTTTTAATTAATATTACTGTATTCGTTGCTAAATTACTGTCTCCAGCAGTTATTTAACTGTCGGAGACAGTAATTTAACTGTTAATTGACTTTTTTATTCTTAAAAAAAATATTTTTAATTAATATTACTGTATTCGTTGCTAAATTACTGTCTCCAGCAGTTATTTAACTGTCGGAGACAGTAATTTAACTGTTAATTGACTTTTTTATTCTGAAAAAAAATATTTTTAATTAATATTACTGTATTCGTTGCTAAATTACTGTCTCCAGCAGTTATTTAACTGTCGGAGACAGTAATTTAACTGTTAATTGACTTTTTTATTCTTAAAAAAAATATTTTTAATTAATATTACTGTATTCGTTGCTAAATTACTGTCTCCAGCAGTTATTTAACTGTCGGAGACAGTAATTTAACTGTTAATTGACTTTTTTATTCTGTAAAAAAATATTTTTA